CCAGCCCACGGGTAGCCGTGGGATGCAGTCCAGCCCCAGCAACCCAGGCCATCCCATGCAGGGTCTTTGCACCAGTTCACCTCCCACAAGGAAGGCTCATCTCTTTCTATTTTGTAAATGGCTCAGTGTATTTATCTAGGCTTTTGTTTATTGTGGAGAAAAGAAAAAAGAAGAAGGAAGAAAGGAAAGGATAAACAGAGGGCAGGAGGAAGGAAGAGGGGATTGTAGAGACAGAAACAAAACACAAAGAGGAGATAGAGAAGAATTCTCACCTACATGAGAGCTGGCAAAGCCGTTACCAATCCATGGTTGGCAAACTTTTCCATAAAAGACCAGGTAGTGAAAATCTTTGGTTTGAAGACCATACCTAAAGGCACTGCACAACACTGTGGCTTCTGTAGACTACATGTAAGTGAATGGCCATGAGTCCATTCCAATTACATTTTATTTTCAAAAACAGACAGCTGGTCTGCAGGCTATAGTTTGCTGACCTGTAAATTCTAACTCATTGCTATCAGCCATGCAGCTTGGCATCACAGCATGTTTTCAACCCCTCGCCAGTGTCTTGGTACTTTCATGTACATCCTCTCATTTAATTCTCACAAATAGCCCTTTGAAAAATGGCCTGTTTTGTTTTGTTCTTTCATTTTATCCATCAAGAGATTACGTTTTAGAGACATTAAGCTTGAACAAGTTTCTTCAGTAAAAGTCACGGGACTTAGAGATGCTTCATTTCATTTTCAGGCAACATGTTTCTCAACTTTCTGAAACGTGCAATAGGCACTGAATGCGGCAAAGACAATGGACGTATCAGCAACATTGAGCAACTTACTCAGGGTCTCTCAGTCAACTGGCGCCAGAGTTGGGACTGGAACACTGGGTCATGAATCCTACTCCCATTCCTTGCCCAAGACCCTTGATAGGCCCACCGTCCTCTGACAGCTGCCTCCGTGTGTCCCGGTAGAAACCTTTCCCAGACAGGTTGCCTTAGTGAACTTGGCTCATTCTGATATATGTCAAATATGAAGTTTTAATCTATCTTTTTAAGGTACGTGGAACATGTTTTTCTTGAGTTGTTGAAATAAAATGACTGCTTTGAATATTGCAAGAATCTGGATGAAGGCCAGAGAAACAATGCAATTCAAATTTGGTGGCTTTTCAAGTTTTCTTATATAGATCACTGGAGGAAAGACGCTGTATTTTTCTCCTTTTTTTCTAAGCATGAACTGAGTATTTGCCACCTGAGTTGACAGTTTCAGCAATTTGAGATGAATTCATTTCCAAATAAACCTAATTTTCAGTCTCATCCAACAGTCACAGTTCATTCGATCTGACCATTAAAACAAATGCCAAAGAACAATGAGCTTAGTAGCCCCATAATAAAGGAAACTGTTGGCACCCTCGGGAGGGGCAAAGCTCCCCGGGGACTGAGACTCCTCTCTTCACTTTGTGAGGGTTTTTAAGCATGATATGGAATCCGACCGAGTAAGTAAGGACATGCACAAAATCTCCCGGATCCAATTGAGAAACAGACAAATTTGGCCTTCAGTACAGCCAGGTTTTTCATCCAATGCCATGCAATTCACTTCAACTCAATCCCTTAAATTAAATTCAAATTTGTTCCAGAGTAGACCTGATGGAGAAAACAAAGAAGAAGGAAGCAGGAGATACTTACTGGCTTTGATGTCAGACCTCGATTTATTCTTAACTTAGCCACATGTTAGTGCTACAATCCTAATTTACATAATCTCACTCAGCTTCCACGTCTTCATCTGGATGCTGGGAAAAATGATCCTTGAAGTACTGAAGCAGAATTTCAGGCAGGTAATGTGTATAAACATGAGTGGTGAACAGTCAACATATTAAATATCATTTTCAACCCCTTCCCCTCCTTCTTAAAAAAAGAGACTGTAGAGAGACACCTTCACAGCTCAAAACAGAACGAAACACAGCTCAGTGTTCAATCAAGCAAAAACTGTGAGAGCAGTGGAAAAGGGCTGAGATTTTTTTCCTAGGATGTTCAGGGAAAGTTTCATAAAGAAAATAAACAGTATTATAAAATAAAATAAAATAATAATAGTGATAAAATTAATATTTATGACAATGTTATAATATGCATTATTATAATATATTATTTACATAATAAATATATAGGATATATTAAATATATAATAAATATATACATATATAAATATTTAACATAAAATATAAAATATATAATTTATAAATTAATTAAAATTAAAATAATAAAATACATAGCGTCTTAACTGGGCAAAGCAAGGCATGAGTGGGACAGAAATGATGATGTGGACGGAGGGGCTCCTTCGGGTTAAAGGAGCAGCTTAAGAAGCCTGCAGCTGTGTGGCTGGAACAAAGTGTGAGCAGGAGGGAGTGAGGAAGGAGGCCTCAGAGGCAGGTGCAGTCAGGGATCTGGGAATTACTGGACTCTGGAGCAAGAGAGTTTTCTTCATTTTATTTATTTTTGCTGTGCACTGAAGACCTCGAATGGGGCAGTGCAGGGGGGATTTGAAAGCTAACAGATGGAGGCAGAAGACTGTATGGTTGTGACTGCAGTAGTATAAGAGAATTCACTTTTAAAAATGTATACCATGTATGTTCTTTGCAAACCTATGCTTTGTTCCGCCTGCTAGTGTTGAAAAGGACACATAGGTGCCTTCTTTCATGGAGTTTAAATTTTGCCAGGGCTACAGACAACCAAGAGGTGAATAAATAAGAAAGACTTTCAGGTAACAAAAATGCCAAGCAGACAGTAGGTATTATAGGTGTGAGCAAAGTGGACGTGGGTCTCTTATTGAGATACAGGAGTTGGGCAGGTCCTGATGGAGAGGGGTCTTTTGAGCTGAGACCTGAATGCTGAGAAAGGAGCATTTCACGGAGAGTTGTGGTTGGGGTGCCCCAGGCAGTGTCAGGGCTCTAGGGCTCAGATAGGCTAGCTGTGATGGAAGAGCTGGAGGAAGCTCTGTGTACCTGCGAGGCTGAAGTGCTGAGATGAAGTAGTAGGTAACAGCTGAGTCTTGTTGGCCATTGAGGGCTAACACAAGCAGTCTGGATTTTCATTGTTAGCGTAATAGAGAGCAGAACTGATTTTAAAGCAATGAGTGTTGGGATCTAGGTTTTATAAGATCATCCTGGCCCCTGTGGTCTGTGAACTATAGAAGGGGTATGTGACAGCAGGGTAGTGTGTTATCAAGGCTGATGCAGCCACCTGGTTATAAGTGATGGGGGCTTGGACAAGGCTGTTAGCAGTGATCACAGAGAAATGTGACACTTCGGGGGTTTATTACGAAATAGACCCCACATGACTTGTGATGTGATGCATGGTGGCTGGGTTGGGTGTAAAAAAGAGGAATTGAGGATGGCAATAAAGATGACTTAGGTACAGGAGGATCAGGAAATGATACCGCCTGATACTTCTGCTTTTGAGACAATTATAAATTTACTAGCACCATGTGACTTATTCGCCATTCTTCCTAAGATTTTTTAATAGACATAACACTCATATTTATTCTGTTATATGCCTGTCAATCTCTTGTGAATAAAAGAGTCACACTGCCCATTTTACAGATAAGGAAATTGGGTTTCAAAGAGTACAGACAGCCTTGCCCAGGTTCATTGTTAGGAAGAAGAAGGACCCAAGCCTCAAGGGAAGTCTTCTGACACTAGGCCCATGGCTCATCTTATTACAACACAGCGTATATTAATTAACTAGAAACTCAAGGAAGCTGGAACCCATTACCTAAAATATACTGATTTTAAAGAGGAGCTAGAATAATGAAAACGATCAGGATTTTAAAATTAGTGAAACCTGACTTCAAGCCCAGAGCTGTTCATAACTATCTTAGGCAAATACTAGCTTAAGCAAAAATTCAGTTTCTTTACCAATTTCATCTGAAAAGTAGGGTTTGTAATACTCAAGTTGAAGTGTGATTATGAGAATTAAATCAATGAATTAATATTAATATAAACTACCTAGAGCAGTATTTGACATATTTGACACTTATTATATCCCTACTTCCTCTTTTTCTAGGAACCAATAAAACACAATTTGTAGCTCATTAGTATTAACTCTTTTATATGACTAATGTCAGCACAGATTTCATTCCTCAGTTAACAAGACCAATGACTTACCGTAATGATAATAAGAATGCTAATGATAAGGGTAATAAAATAATAACAAGATTTAATCAAAGGAGGCTTGCTTATGGAATTATTCATATTTCAATTACTATAACTCAACATTCCTCTGAAAGTCTATAGGATGTACTACTTATATTTATAGCTAGGAGCTATTAGAATTGTTTACCTGCCTAATATTGTGCTAAACTTAACATGTATTTCATTTCTCCCTTACAGTGAAACTCTATGAATTTGATTCCAATGTTTTCCCCATTTTACAGTTGATAAAGGCACAGAGAAAGGAGATAGGTTGTTCATAATCTCAGAAATACTAAGTTTAGAGTCATGATTTGATGTGAGAGCCTATGACTCCAGACCCCGTATTTTCAAGCCATCACGGTGTGCTCTAATGAGGAGGATGGATTAGAACCTGTTCCAATATCCTACATATACTGTGTCTTACATGCAGCAAATCTTCAATTAAATGTTCCAAGCTGTCTATTTGCCTCCTATTATCTTAAAAAAGAAATTTCTTCCTGAATGTGGGTTTTTGGCCCACATTGTCCAGATATTGAAGCATTAATTGAGAGAATGCATGTCACCAATAGAGAATTCTGATTTATTATTCTCTCTTCTGACTAAAACCGGATACTTAAACTTTTCAAATCACAATAGGTCATATGTACACTAAATACAATTCTAGTCACCAATGCCTAATCACTGATTACACCTTACATCCTCACATTCTTTTATTTTCCCCCAAATGAGAGACATCTGTGTAGTAAAAACAGAAGAAACAATGAAATGGTTAGCTTTTTTTTTTTTTTTTTTTTTTTTTTTTTTNGGCTCACCGCAACCTAGACCTCCTGGGTTCAGGCAATTCTCCTGCCTCAGCCTCCTAAGTAGCTGGGATTACAGGCACGCACCACCGTGCCCAGCTGATTTTTTGTATTTTTAGTAGAGACAGGGTTTCACCATGTTGACCAGGATGGTCTCGATCTCTTGACCTCATGATCCACCCACCTCGGCCTCCCAAAGTGCTGGGATTACAGGCGTGAGCCACTGGGCCAGGCCAGCTTTGTTATAGCAAGTAGACCATATGTGGCTAAAGCTAATTTCCTTTGCTGCAATATAAATATTAATTTGTTCAACACATATTTAATAAGCAATCAGGAGATGAGGACATTAGAATCCAACTCAACAGCCAGTTTTGAGCACCTTCTATTTGCCAAGGTGACCTGGAGATTGTAGCTAACATTTCAGTGATTTCTAAATGGGATAGAATACATTTCCCAAAGACCAAAATACTTTCCACTAGAATTTTTTTTTTTTTTTTTTTTTTTTTTTTTTTTTTTTTTTTTTTTTTTTTTTTTTTTTTTTTTTTTTTTTTTTTTTTTCCGAGACAGAGTCTCACTCTGTCATCCAGACTGGAGTGCTATGGCATGATCTCTACTCACTGCAACATCCGTCTCTTAGATTCAAGTGATTATCCTGCCTCAGCCTCCCCAGTAGCTGGGACTGGAGGCTTGTATTTTTAGTGGAGATGGGGTTTCACCATGTTGGCCAGGCTGATCTTGAGCTCCTAACCTCAAGTGATACCTGCCGCCCCTTCCTCTCACCGCCCCCCCACCTCAGCTTCCCAAAGTTCTGGGACTACAGGTGTGAGCCACCCCTCTTGGCCCAAACATCCTTCTTTTTAACAGCAAGCCAGTCTGTGCTGCTTATGGTAGAAATGATCTTAGGAAGCATATCCTCAATATAGAGCAAACAAAAGTATAGTAGTTTTTAGAGATTTAAATTAAATATATTGCCATAAGTCAAATATCTGGTCTTTTTCTAAAGATCAGGCAGTGGAGAGTTCATGAGTTTTGGAGTCACAGGGACCTAATTGCAAATACTCATTCTATTTTTTTGTTTGTTTTTTGTAATTTTAGGCAAAATTCTTAGCTTTTTGGACTCAGTTTTTAATCTGTAAAACAAGGTAAGTGGTGCCTATCTTGGGAGATTTAAAGGAAAGTGTATTAAGTCAGCTCATGAAAAGCTCTCAGCTGAGTGTCAGGGACAAAGGGATTCTCAATTTCCTGAACCTGGCTGATAAGGACCAATTCAGGTCCCCCTTGTTTCTCTACAAACAATTCCTTCAATGTGAAAAAATTGTTGGCTCTTTTCCTCTTCCCTGACTTACCATGGGCCATATGGTTTGTACTATACTTTTATAATACATCTTAAATTATTTTGTATTTAATTCTTCATGCAGAGAGGAAGAATCAGCTGTAGGCCAGAAGAACGACCTGGCTGACCTGCACTATCTTGAGCTAAATAAAATCACTGCTGTGTAAAAATCCTGCTGTAGGGAAATAGTTTGTTACATAGCATAATTAGTGCATCCTTGAGCGCTGGGTGTGGAGTCCAGAAAAGCTTTCAAAAGGAACCTGTATCTGGAAGGATTTTTAAGCAGGACATCATTTTCTCTTTTAGCAAGATGTGCCTGTTTGAGTAACAGACCACAGGGAGAGGAGTTGGATATCAAGGAGACGAGTTATTTCAGGGGTCCGGACCAAAGACTCCCAGTACTTGAAGCAGTTCAGTGTAGTAGGGAGAAGGAAGGGATGTATTTGAGAAATAACTGGAATGCAGAATTCTCTTGGGAAAATCCCTGATTTTTCCCACTTCAAGTTCAAACGGTTCCCTCCCTCTAATGCTCCCAGGGACCATTTCTCTTAAGGCATTGATTTCAGTTTTCTGTGCAGAAGGGACGTCTGTGCAGGCCACTCTCCCCACCACATGAGGGAGCTAGAGGACAGAGAATGCCCCTTTTGCAGGCCCTGCCTGCCCTCACCCAGCTATGTTCCTGGTAGTTTCTTAATTCCTTACAAAATAAGTCAAAATGAGTTTAAAGTGTGTTACGCTGTCTTCAACTATTTTTTTTTGTCTTTTCTGTTGTGGAAGAAAAGGGATCTTCTAGCAGAAGCCCAGTTTGGATGCTTCCCCTCATGGTCTTTGATTTTGGTGCTTAAACATCTCACTATTCGATCCTGTGAAATAAGTGCCCACAGCTGTGTCTCCTTTTTTTTTTTTTCTTCTTATCTTCAAAATGTAATTCCAGCGTCTGTCATGTTTGAAGTCATGCAATTCTGCATCTGAAGGCAGACGACGATTCTAACATATTTGGTTAGGGAGACACAAGTATTTCTCTCAGTCCTGAGACTACAGAAAATTAGACACGAACTCAATACACAGAAATAACCCTGCAAGGCAAAGGGTTTTGTGACTATGCCTCTCAACAGAGCCTGGCCTCCAGCTCACGTGGAGACATGTATATATATGTATAGACAGATCAAATCATTGCCAAGACAGCCTCTGGCTCTCAAAAAGTGTCATTTTCAATCAACAGCAGGAGCTATCCAGGAAATGGATAAGAAATGCTAAAGAGGGTGAAGTCTGATGGCTGGGGAGCTATTCCAGAATTTAAACTGTTGAGATGAGCCCTCATGAAGTTAATACTATATTATGTAATGTATATATATATATATATATATATATATATATATACATATATATATCTAATAATATATTTAAGATAATATATCTAATAATAAATAATATATCCAATATACATATTAGAATAATTGCCTTGAAAGTGTGTGAGTCATCTCTTATTTACGCCTTTTGAGATGTGTCTGTGTGTTACGTGTGTGTGGGAGGAGGAAAAAGAAAAAAAATGAAGAAGGAGGAAGCAGAGAGGAAGAAGACGGAAGGAGGGCACAGAAAGGGAGAAAAAGGTGGCAGAAAGGAGACGGGATGAAAATATAGAATGGGGTGGCGGGAGGGATTTTTCCCTCCTAGGTAAAGGAGATTTGCTTTCCATTCTGAAGCCTTCCACCTCATAACATTTCCCAGCACAGTAACCTTTTGCCAATTTAACCTCTTTGGTTCTCAGTTAAATTTTTTTGTAAAGTGAGGCGATATATGCAAGATTCCTTTGCCCTACTGAGTGATTGCAAGTGTCAAGTAATTGAGTGAATGTAAGGGTGTCTTAGCAACTCACTCTACATTGCGCAGGGGCAAAACACCATGGTTATTTGTTGTTAGTTACTCCTCTTGTCAGATGGACAACTCTGACTTCCCACACAGGTGAATATCAGTCTGAACCTTAGGCTAAGGTTCTTCAACCTGCATCCAAGTCTTTCACTTTAATGAATAAGATTAGACTCAGGAAGCAGAATATCTGAGTCTTATTCATGCCCCCATCACTTCCCAAGTGGTCTTGGGACAATGTCACAGTTTTCTGATCTATACTATGGCTTATATGTTAACATGTATCTCCCTGGGCTACTATAAAATTCAGATGAGATGGAATATGCAAATGGAGATGTTCTCTGTAGAGGTTTACTGTTGCTGTTGCCAGGAAGAAGAAAGCAACTAAATTTCAGACATCTTTTCTACCCTTTTGCATGACCACTTTCCCTCATCCCCTAATTAGAAGGAAGTGCTTCTACCATTGGTGAATTATCTATCAGGAGTCTTCCTTCCACTTGACTGTCTTTTTACAACAAAGGTGAAATGTGGGAGAGGTAGTTAATGTCATAGGTAAATGTAGGAAGGTATGGGGCATGTGTGAGTGTGCATGTTAGAATGGAGAGTGACACACACAGTCCTTCCATGAATCCTCAAGACCCTCATCGTCTTTGGGTACCTGTCATATTGCGAAGTCTGGGAAACACAATATGATTTGTCATTTAGATTCTATTCTAGATGCTTTGTATCTTGGAAGCAGACCTGTGTCTGTCATACTTACTCAGAAAACAGTTATGCTAGGCTGAGCATGGTGGCTCACACCTGTAATCCCAGTACTTTGGGAGGCCGAGGCAGTTGGATCACGAGATCAGGAGTTCAAGACCAGCCTGACCAACAGGGTGAAACCCCATCTCTACTAAAAATAGAAAAATTAGCCGGGCGTGGTGGCATGCGCCTGTAATGCCAGCTACTCAGGAGGCTGAAGCAAAAGAACCTGGGAGGCAGAGCCAAGATTTTGCCATTGTACTCCAGCCTGGGCTAATAATGAGACTCCATCTCAAAAAAAAAAAAAAAAGAAAAAAAAAAAAGAAGGAAAGAAGAAAGAAACAGTTATGCTTCCAGTGGTTAGATTTGCTAATGCAAAGGTTGATTTTATGGGAAACCCTGCTGCCCCAAGTAGAATCACTTGCATTCTGTTTATGCAGGGATAATCCGAGTTCTTGATACATGTTTGTTGAATGAATGATTGAATAAAAGTAAAACCTAAAGGAATTGAGCACATACATTAAGATTGTTTGACTTTGTCAAAATCACTTTAGAAAAATACCTTTCTTTGAGCTTTTGAAGATTTTTCACACCTTTTTTTAAGGGGTTTCTCTGTGACTTTCCTATTAGCTCAGAAAGATAAACACTCTGTTAATATGCCCTGGCAACACAGACGGGACCCTTCAGATTATATCTAGATGACAGAGGACTACCCTGCACCTTCTATATAAAGTTCTGCTGAAAAAGCCAATGACAATCAGCAGTTACTCAAGCATTTTGTACTGGATATATTACATGAAAAGTTATTTTGTTCATTAATTAATGTAACTGAACATTTCTGTCCTTTAGTTGTCTGGACACAGCATAAATTGTATTTTGTGGTATAAAGAAAGAATTCTCCAGGTTATAGATGATAGAATCCCTGTATCGGGAGAATTCGTTTAGGAAAAGCAAGTTCAGGCTTGCTGCGTTCCACTGTGTGATGTTGGTTGTACCAAGACTGGAGGGCTCTGAAAGCCATATCTCAGTGTTGTTTGCACAGCTACTAGTCTTACTTCTCCTAGACAAATAGGCCAGCTTACTGTTTGCTATAAAACTAGCAGATTCTCCAGACCCAAAGTTCTTCAGCTGTGACGCAAACCCACCGATGTGTGGCATCCATCTGGGCCATATTATGCTTCCCTCTTCCTTGGGATTGGGAACAACA